AATTTTTTTTAAAATAAATTCTGCTTCATAGAAATATAAAAACAGATCGGCTAATAAAGGAGCACAATTAAAGCCCATCGAAATTCCAAAAAAAAACTGATGATCTGGTCTCCGAATTAAGACTACAAAACGGTGTTAATTAGGAACTCCAGCTTCCTTTTAACATCAACTTCAGGATACTTTTAGGTAGAATCAGGGTGATTTTTAACAAATTGATCTTCGTTCATGACCTTTCACAAGATACGAAAACTTCCGACTTCCATTTTTATTGAGGAAGCTGTTGCCTATGATAAAAAAATGTATAGTTTTAAATTCACAGAATGAACCTAAACCATTCAGTCAACTAAATTGTCTATAATGTTTTCATATCTTGCTGGGTCAACCTTATTGTTCTTTACTGCCATTTTTACAAGTAAATAACAAATCCATAAATAATTTTTGTCTTGCTATTTCTAATTTTATATCTGGACAAGCTGCCCAAGGTCCATAACGCTTACCTAAGTCATGTTGATCTTGCTGTACTTCAGAAAAATCTTAAAATAAAGTGTTTTCCCAAATTATTCCAATGATCCCATATTGTGCCGTCAACTTAGCCTCAAGGGGTTATGATTTAATCTCACTTGAGTCCACGTAACATTGAATCAATATCAGTATATCTGATCAGGAACTATTGTTTGCAGAAAAAAAAAACATTTTAAAGATTCTCACTAAAAATGCTAGCCTCACCCTTACCCCTGCAAAACCCTTACTCCATGGTCCATAATTTTTAGATAAAAAATGTATTGAATCCAAAATGCATAGGAATGTTTGCTTACAATTTCGAATTAGCGTGACCCTGCAAAGATATATCTCTACGTATTCCCTCTGATCAACTAATGTAGCTCAACCAACCCCATGAGGCCATGAAATTATCAACGTTGAATGTATTCTTTCTCGGGATGCAAACGCAAACATTTTTCCTTTTTTTTTTGGTTTCAATAAAATTGCAATGTTAACAAGAGGCCCGAGGGCCTTGAATCGCTCTTCTGATAAACTGTACAACCTATCACTTCTATTTGAAGCCTCTAAGTATCCTGTATATTTAGATAAAGACATGAAATTCCAAAGGAAGGTCATCATGACCTACAATTTAGATAAAACACTCTGAGAACCCAAGATGATTCTAAGCCAATTAGTACCTGAGAGTAGGTCATGGTGACCTACTTATCATTTATCATTCTCTGAGGACCCAAGATGCATCAACTAAGTTTGATGATTCTAAGCCAAATAGTATCTGAAATATTCATATAACGCCATAAAATTTCAAAAGTAGATCGTGTTGACCTACTTTTCAGTTGACGTTCTCCGAGGACCCAAAATGCAACAATTTAAAAAGTTTGATGATTCTAAGCCAATTAATACCTAAAATATACTGAAACGCAAAAGAAACGCAACATATTTTAGGGGGAAATATTACATATAAGTTATAATTTTGTATCTAAAAAGTAAGGACATCTTCAACTTTGTAAATATCGGTAATTTAACGGTCGAATGATTTTCATACCATTACCGGAAGTAAAGTTTGAGTCTGCTGAAGAAAAATCAAAAATTGCATGTTTAACAAAACATTTGGCAATAATATGGGGTTTTTAGGGTTTGTATCTGTTCATATTAAGAAATGCAGCAATGTTCCGAAAAATAAATTCCCCTTTCTTTTCCGTAAGCGATGCCAAGGCTTCCTGAAAATGACTTAAGTACGCATTTCCATTGCTCTAGCTGGAAAATCTCAAAATAAAGGTGATGGAGAGTTGCAGATGCAAATATGACCCACATCACGCCTCAACAGGCTCTTACGTATCATTAGCATGAAAGACAGTCCTTGGATCGGAAGTCCAAGGATTACTACACTGCATTTGGCTAGATTAAATTCGACCTCATCATCTGAAAAACACGCATTTAAAAATGACAAAGAATATTTCTTTCGCTTAGATCTCGAGATTGATGAACCTGTTGCATCGTAGAAATCAAGCTGCAACTGTTGTGCATGGCAGTCTTGCACGCTGTAATTAAATGGCCGGGGTGGGGGTGTTTTAACAGTCATGTGTGACATTCTAAAGTTAAAAGATAATCATTTAACATTTTTATCAAATCTCTGATGATTTCAAATCAAGTTTTACCTAAATGTGTTCATTTTTGAAAATCATTAAATAAAAAATTTAAATATTTGTAGATTACTGCTTGTTGCGTTTCTTTTGCGTTTCAGTATATCTAATTTTAAACATAAAATTTCAAAAGTAGGTCACAGTGACCTACTTTTCAGTTGACATACTTTGAGGACCCAAGATGCATCAACTGACAAAGTTCGATGATTCTAAGCCAATTAGTACCTAAAAAATATTTTATTAAGTCACAGTGACCTACTTTTCAGTCAGCGTACTCCAAGCATCCAAGATGCATCAATCAACAAAGTTTGATGACTGGAAGCAAATTAGTACCCGAAAATATTTAAATATAGAAATTTCAAAAGTAGGTCAGAGTGACCTACATTTAAGTCCACATATTCCGAGGACCAAAGATACAACAACTGACAAAGTTTGATGAGTCTAAGCCAATTAGTACCTAAAAATATATAAATAAAGCAATAAAATCTCAAAAGTAGGTCACAGTGACCTACTTTTCAGTCAACTTACTCCGAGGACCCAAGATGCATCAACTGACAAAGTTTGATGATCCTAAGCCAATTAGTACCCGAAATATTTCATTATAGCCATATAAATTGAAAAGTAGGTCACGGTGACGTACTTTTCAGTAGACGTACTCCAAGGACCCAATATGCATCAACTGACAAATTTTGATGATTCTAAGCCAAATAGTACACGAAAATATTTAAATAAAGCCATAAAATTTCAAAAGTAGGTCAGGATGACCTACTTTTCAGTTGTCGTACTCTGAGGACCCAAAATGCATCAATTGACAAAGTTTGACGATTCTAAGCCAATTAGTACCCGAAAATATTTAATTATAGTCATATAAATTGAAAAGTAGGTCACGGTGACCTACTTTTCATTCGACCTTCTCTGAGGACCAAAGAAACATCAACTGACAAAGTTTGATGATTCTAAGCCAAATAGTACCCTTAATATTTAAACATTGCCATAAAATTTTCAGAGGACGTTTTCGAGGACCCCAGATGCATCAACTTACAAAGTTTTATGATCATAGGCCTTAAAATATCCAAAATATGTCTCTAAAACGCTTTGAAGTCGAATGCCTACAAAGTTCAAAAAGTAGGTTAATGTGACCTACTTTTTAGTCAGTATGTTTTATGGCCCCAAGATGCATCATCTTACAAGATTTAATGATTCTAAACATCTCAGTATTCGAATTAATGACCTTAAATGATAATCCATAAAATTCAGAAACTTTTTAGTTGACGTACTCTGAGGACCCAAGGTGCATCAACTGACAAAGTTTGATGATCATAGGCCTTAAATTGTTCAAAATATTCCTCTAAACTATTTTGAAATAGAATGGTCGCAAAATTTAAAAAGTAGGTCACCTTGACCTACTTTTGAATTAACATGATATGAGGTCCTTAGATGCATCAACTGACAAGATTTGATTATCCTAGTCCTTATAGTAAGCAAAATATCAACACTTCAATAAAACTTTTTTTTTGTTAACTTTGAAGTGACCTTGAAACCACGCCCTTTGCTCCAGGGCAATTCCTCGTGCAAATTTTAATCTACAGCATATCCTCATCTCTTTGTGTAAGTTTGGTGATAATCTGCCCAGTGATTCTTGAGAGAAAGATTTTTTAGCAACCAGTACTTTTGGTTTTATTTACTTAATTATCTCCCTTTGTTTAAGGGTCACAACCTTAGTTTTAGAATAAACGGGAGCCCTTGGGCGAAGGATATACCCTGTGACAAATTTGACAATAATTGGCCAAGGGGTTCTTGAGTTATGGCCCATATTCTAAAAAGTTTACGCACACAGCACACCGCACAAATGGCCATAGCATTAGCTCTTTTAGCCTTTGGCTCAGAAGAGCTAAAAATTGGCTTGCACCATAATCAACATTTTTTTATTGATACGAAGAAATGACAATATAATATCTCTCTGTATATTATTTTTATCTGAAATAGCTTTTGGTGCAACATTGATGACACAAAAACGTAGCTCGAGGTGTTTTCGAATATATTCAAGAATTGTGCGTTTTTAAAAATTTGTTTGAAGGATAAATTCGACACTGAATTTGATTTCCCGAAGTCCCCATTTTTGGAAATGTTTGCGCATATAACGTTATATACTTGTCCTTTTTGCAGTCAAATTAATGATTTTCCCCTTATTAATACTCTTGATTACAACATTTTAAGGAGTATTAATTTTGTCGCATTATGTTTCAATATTATTTGTATTTATGAAGAAAAAGTCGCTGACAGTTCTTTTTTTAAATTGTGGTGCACCGACCATCGATATTAACACCTTTTGAATGCTGTTTGCACATGTATAAGACAATACAGCCTCTCAATATTGTGTCAAAAATGATGAAAAATCATATATCTGAACAATGCCCAAAAAATGAATAATTTTGCCTGGAGAGTTTATGATAGAATTAAACAGTTTGCTTTTTCTAGGAAATCTTTGTTTATTTCAATCTTAGTATTCAATCTTTTATTGCGGCCACACCAAACCTTAGGAGCCATGATTTAAATAAACTTGAAACTAAACTACCTGAGGATACCTGCATACTAACATTGACTAAAGAGGCTGTTGTTGTGTTTGAGGAGATTTTTTCCTATTTATTCAAGTATAAAACTTCCATTGTGGGCTTATCCTAACCCCCCCCCCCCCCCCCAGTTCCAAGATTTGAACAAATTAAGTTTGATTAATTATGTTCACTTATTACTGATGCTGCTATTGAAGTCCTTTGTTCCAGGGATTTACCTTACTGAAATTGCAATTGTCATACCATACATTACGTTATCTTATTTAAACAACATACTTCTCTTTTTCAGGCGGATACTGGCACATGGTATGCACAAAACTCTGTGGCGGTGGTCCAAACGAATGTTGGAATCTACCTAATGGTGTATGGCAACACCCTCCAATAAACCGGTTCTCAAAAGAAGAATATATTCGGTGCTACTTTAATACGTTAATGGAAAGGGGGCTATGTTCAGTTGACCACGTATGGGGAACACAAACTTATCCCTATAACGGTACATGCACACAAAAGTTTGCCATACCGGCATCTGATCCACGGGGAATAGGACTACTTCCGGACTGTACCGGAAGACCAGATGGTAGTTACCAGTTCATAACGAGGCCATGTGATGCATACTACAGATGTGACAGTGGGAACGCCACAGCTATCAAATGTCCTGATCATATTTATTTTGACAAAAATATTGGCAGATGCTCTTCAAATGCTTCATGTTACCGTGTGTAATGAAATGTTCTCACTGATTAATATTAGTAGAAACTGTAGATAAATGATATTAAATTTGACCACCTTCACTCTTTCATTATAATGGAGGACTATTGCATATGAAGATATGTTGTTATATTTTAGAAGTATAAGCCGCCTTGATGGGCGGGTCATCTGAGTGCCCATTATACAGGCCTGCATGGGCGGCTCAAGTGTGTGCAGTTGACCTACTACTGATCAGTATAAATGGTACAGGTTTTCAAGAATCGGATCTCGTGCTTTATAATTATAGTAAAAGATGTCTAAGATTAGTATCATTTGAATTTTTTTCACATGATCGAAGAAAATTTTGCTGATTCAGCCGAAATGGTACAGGTGTTTTAAGAATCGGATCTCGTGATATATAATTATAGTAACAGATCATTTGAACTATTTCACGTGAGTAAAAAAATCTTGCACTTTCAGCAGTTAAAAAATCAAGTGTTTTTAGAACGAGGTCTCGTGCTGATCCCCAACTTAATTTAATTATTATGTATGATAAGTAAATAACTATACATAAAAACCTTACAGAGATCAGCTTATTTTGACAGTTCTACGTAAACTTCAGCGTCTCAGGTAAGGCAGTATTATGACGTCCAAAACATGGATTCAATTACAGTCTAGCCAAATTTCTAACGTCATTTTTACATTTTGACAGGATTTACACTCCAAAGAGACTATCATTTATGACACTCAGCTGAGCCATCAGCTAAGGTTTTTTTATATAAAATAATAACAAGATACCTTGGTTGTTGTTTCCTTCTGCAGCTCAGCACTGATAAAAACACGTCCTGTCTCCTTTTAATTGCAGACTGAGAATGACCTGTTTTATTTATTTTTAATTTAATTTTTTACCTTTTTTATTCTTATTTAATGTGTTTTTATTTCATACAATAACAACGCTTGTAAAAAGATAAAAGGACTCACAGTGTGTTTTCCTTCTTTCATAACGAAAAACAGCACATACTCAAACGTCCATTAATTTTTCTTTTAATTTTTAATTCAGGAAATCCTGACTGTCTTCAAAGCATTCGTTTGTCCAATGTCCAATCTGGTCACACTCGTAGAACAAAATTTGTTGTTTCTTTGGATAGTTAGGTGCGGAGATGAGGCAAAAGTTGGTTTGTGTACTTGCTGGTTTTTTTCTTTGGATTCTTTTGTTGTTTCTACTGGTCTTTTGGTTTGTAATTTGATATCACCTTCTCCTAAATGTCATTCACTTTGACTTCCATTTAAGGAGGCTGGGGGGTCAACAAATTTAACCACAAATTAACCACCAGATTTAACTTAATTTTTTAGATATGATATCTTAAGCTATCAACTATCATTTGGCAAAGAAAAATTTCAAAAATTTTATTTTTAAAATTTGATCATTTTCTATATCTTCATATGGAGCTCTTCCTCTAAAGGAGATCAATATAGTCAAAAAATGGCCACAACCACCCAGCCTCTTTAAGCAAGTCTTCCTCAGTTGTAACAGAATTCATTGTTTACCTCCTCTCTGAAAACATGCAGGGTGTGGGCTATTTATGCCTAAACTCTCTTTTTTATACCCCTCCGATACTGTACAGCAGGAAATTAACTCGCGGAGTTAATATTCGCTACATTCACGGAAACAAAATTCCGCGAATTCAACATACAGTGAGTAATTCTTGAAAGCTTGATAAGAATAAATTGAAATATTACCATTTGCTGTGATTAGATTCTTTTACTCTTTGTTTCCGTGCAAAAAGCAGTAATTAATATTGCGATGTAGACGTCTTCCTAATTATGCTGGCGTACGGATCAATCAGTAACACGTAGTTGTTGGTGTTTTTAAAGCCTAATTGATAAATAAATGTCTATAACTAACATTTAACTTTGCCATCCAGTAGAGGTGCGATGTATTTAGCTACATAACATGCATTGTTAAATTTCATCCCTGCATATCAATCAATCTTACACCATCGTCTATTTTAACTTAAAAAATTCCTCTCTTCATTTTTCTACCAGAATCTACTCTGCTCTTTTTTTTCCCAAAAGATAATAGCAACATACATGTAGTTTGAATTGAAAAAGAGCATTTATAACAAATGTCAATGCAAGTAAAAACAACATAAATAGACAGCAGTATTTAATGCTACACCTGTCACAAGGAAAAACTAAAAGCAACCAAAAAGGTACATACAATACAAAATGAAGTGCATACAGTGTCTTAAATTTGCCTTAATTAATATAGAACAATCATCAATATAAAACTATATAGGCATAAACAATAAAAAAAAACACATGACTAAAAATCGCAAAAAAGATGGGACTTGATTAAAAAAAAACATGCCCATGCCTAAAATAAAATGGCAGAAGATGATGGGACTAGCTTGAAGTAAACATATTGGAACTAGCCTTATTAAGCTTGCCAAGAGGTACATGTAACAAAAGAACTAACTATCTTAAATTTACATTAACTATACCACAGATTGAGCAAAATGTCAAAACATGATGTGGCTAGCTTCATTTGAACACCGGTAGATGAAGAGGAGAGAGGGTCAAAATCTTCTCCCTTCTAAAATCAAAGTAAACAAAGATCACATGATCAGAAGTAATAGGATTTTGTAAGAGGAGAATAGTGAGGTGTTGAATTGCCATTGACCCATCAATGGGTAAAGTCATGTAAAAATTACTGCTCTCAGTCATGATCAGTGAGATATTGAGAGGAATTTATCTGTGACCCTTCTATTTATAGATATAAAATTTTCAGATGTATACATAATTTACACGTCATCATCCTCTGATCTGTAACGAATCACTCTGTGTAAGATAGGAGGTCCTTCCTTTTCCAAGTTTTCTTTGATACAGGAAAAGGGGACGCGACAATACACATACTCTGTAGTACAGTAACTGTCTGGAAAATTTGGTTCATTTTTCTCCATTCTGAAAAAATGTCGAAGATAGTCTTTCAAGTCCGAGTACCAGAGACTTTCATTCAGAATTGTGGTACTTTACATTCTCAAGAATAAGAGGTTTGTTTAATGCGTCTCCTTTTTTACACCTTCAGATCTCTATTTTTAGTATTTAAGGGAAAAAAAACAAATATAATGCAATAACTTAATGTGTGGATTAAGAAGACTTTTGTAAGTTTATAGTTTTATTATAAAATCACATCAAAGACAAAACAATTGTACATGAAAAGTTCAATGGCTGTAGGTCTCGGAGCCAAGATGGTGAAAGCTCACATAATCATTGCATCACATAGGTCTCGGAGCTAAGATGGTAAAAGTTCTCATAATCAGTCTCGGAGCCAAGATGTTAAAACCTCTTGATACTCAGTGCGCACATCTTTTGTACAAGAAGCTACATCATAGGGATCACATATTTGGTAATAGCAATAAGTAAGTTCGAGTGTCACTCCATTAATATTGATACAGTCCGCCCCTCACTGAAGCTCTGTCGATCATCTCCTTATAAAATACGGCAATGTCCTCTGTTTACAATAACATTGTGTATCTTGCACACTCTTCAGTTAATTAGATGGTTGCAGCTTTGCACCAAGTCTAATTGGAAAGTGCCAATGTTCGAGAACAGCATATCGTAAAAAAACTAATTGTCCGTCAAATGAAGACGCTCTTCTTGTTGTATCCAATCTCCTAGAGTCGGTAAACAAGTTCAAAATCAAGAGGTTATTGTCGTCGCTCTACACACTGATAGTATCATTTATAATTCAAAACACAATATTAAAATATCAAGAGGTACATGGTACAAAATTAATACATCAATTAAAATAGTAATTTGTACGCTCATTGTGTTACACAAAGAATAACGCATTTTGAGGTTTTCTGTATTTATAACTTTAACTTTCAAATCGACACAATGGGCATCGTCTGTAGGAAGTCTCAACAATGCTCTGAGAGCACTTTTCACAGCACGGATATTTCACAGCACGGATATTGTCTACACTGTTGACATTCCCATTTTCCCTTGGTCTTGTCTTTTCAAACAGGTTGGACATCTCCTCATCTTTCTGTTCTTAGGATGGACCAACAGTGCGCCATATTTTGACCCCCATCTTTCCATAAGAAATATCGTATACACCAATTACAGGCACAATGGTCCAAAAAAGGGGGATCTACGACTTTTCAGAGGCCCCGTGTCACGGTAGGCGATGGCATGATAAAGAACCCTCACTGCTCAATGGCCCTGAGTGCCGAGTAAAGGTATAAAATTGAAGCCCTTCACCGGTATATGGTGACGTCTCTATATGAGTGATATATTCTCAAATGGGACTTAAAACAACATACAATCAATCAATCAATCACAATCATTGCACCCCCGATAAGAACGGATAGCTTGTCTGACACTGTTATACCCAGTTAATTTCACTAAGGTTTCCATCTTACTTTATACAATTATGAACTTTGATGAGGTCTACTCGTGACTATCCGGACCTGGTCAGGTATTGGTTGACCGAGACCGAAGGACGAGGTTAACAAATACCTGATCAGGTCCGTAAAGTCATGAGTAGACCGAATTCAAAAGTCAATGACCGTTTTATTAAATGATCAGGAATTTTACAACATTTTGACACTTTAGTTCTTGTCTGCAACAAATATAAATACTCATAATATAATGCGTAGAGTAACAACACATTATAATTATATTTTAACAGCTTAACAACTTTTTTAAGTGGAAAACGATATTATTAAACAATAAATACTCAACTATTTACTAAGAAAGGTGTTTAGTCTCTTCGGTATTTGCGTCTGCCATGTTTACATTCACAACAACACAAGCTTTAAAACGTCCAATTTGATTGGTCGCAAAAAAATGTAAGCAAATCTATGGTTGGTCAAGAGGGAAATCCAGAATAAACCTCCCGGAACTTCATTTTGAGGTGAATTCACTCTGAGGCACACCTCAGGAAAAGACGTCTAGACCAATCAGACTGCATCAAAATTCCTGATCATTTTATAATGACAATGATGACAAAGTCCCTTTTCTACTTCGTA